AATCACGTGATACAAATCGATAGTTAAATGCTTGCGATAGGACGGGACGAGTTCGCCCCCGGCAGACAGTATATCGATTGTCGTCCTTCGTCGTGGAGGCGCGAGGATGTCCGAGGAACAATCGTCCAAGAGTAGTCAACGAAACTTCTTTTCCGCCCAGCTATTCCCCCGTGTCTTCCGTACATATTGTCAGTTTCACTGTCAGTGCTTGCTGCTTGTAGACTCTGTAATTTCCGGCTGCCACTCGGCCTGTTCTTATTTCCCGTCACGTTCGCCACCCGACCCTCTCCGCTTTTCTCGCCACACCAGTGGCGCCCGCCCGCCCGCCCGCCCGCCCGCCCGCCTCGTCCTTCAGGTGTAATGGAGCCGAGAAACAGATAATTACAACCCCTCTGACCATCCCAGAGCCGAGCAGCCGAGCATCAGCTTTTATTTCGGTCTCTGACCCCGCCCGTCGCTCGACCGCGCCAAGATTTAAAGTGCGGATTCGTATTCATTCACCGGCTTAACGTTAATATTTCTTCGTTACGGCGGTTCACGTGCTCGCTCACAGTCGGATGAGAAAGGTCGAATGAAGCGAAATTTGCGGGGGTGAAATTTCCCTTCTGCACGACGCTCGCGGTTTCGGCGAAACCGAGCAATTAATCGTAATTTCAGATTCACCCGAGCCACGAAATTTAATTTGTGACTTAGGTGGGAAATCTGGAAATAGAAACACAAATTGCGATACGTGTAATTAAAAATTTAAATTATGGTAACATTTATTTAAACACACTCCGTTTCTCATTTCTGAGTAGATTAAAAGCTTGAGGTGCGCGGAAACAAGACGAATGTTATTACGCGCATACGGAACGTGTATGCGGAAAATGTGGGAAGTGAAGATGTCTTTCGCACGATTTACGCTGCTGCTTCAAAGCTATACGCAAGCGCAGCTGAAGTTTCATCGGGGGTTATGGCTGTAACGATTTTGAAAATTAAAGTGATTTGCTGCCTCCCCGTGCCCTGCCGTGCTCCTTACTAGCTTTTTCCTCTTTAACCGGCAGCTCTTTACTTTAGGTGTAATAGAGCCGAGAAATAGATAATTATCCTTCTCTGACCTACTTCGTGCTCGCATCTTCCGACTCCTCGGATTCCTCCGCTGAGTCTTAAGCGATCATCTCCAAGTTCTTCAGCGTCGTGCGAGGCTGAAAGTACCTCGCCGCTATAAAAAGCCTCATGTATCCTAAGTATGTCAGAAAGATGAATTACCATAGCGCGGCCAATTACAATGTGAACGTAGCGGTTCTTCCGATATTTTCTTACGTACATTTATCCCATTTTTCTTTCGCATATGCTAAAATTTATTTGTGGAATCCGGTTTCATTTTCTTTCCGAAATAATTATTTCTGTTTTTCTAATAATAATATATATCATTAAGTGGCATCTTTGAAGTAAATCTGAAATTACTACGCAGTAGAAAATTTAATTAAATTTCATTGCGCAACGGAAATTTCGAGCAGTAGTCATTACAACGAGATTTATTGTAAGTTCAAATCAACAAAGTTGGATAGAAGTTGCTATTTGTTCCTAGTAATGTTGAGAGAATAAATCGGATCGATCGACTCGCCAGGAACGCTTCCCGCGAAGAACGTGAAGATAACCCCGCGAGCGCATCCTCGTCGTCGTCGTCGCCGTCGTCGTTGTCTCGTCACCGCCGTGCCCGCATTATACCGCCGACAACGCATTCACCCCTTTCGCCACCAGGTCCGCGCCATTTCTCCAGAGATATCTACAGGGTGGTACCGTCGACATAACTGGGAATCTCCTTCGCAACTCTGATCGACAAAGTTGCTCCTGGCGGCGCCGAGGGCACACGGACGCGAAAGTTAGCGCGGAGTCTACCAGCATCCTTCCTCCCTCGCGCCCCGCGCCAGTTCTCCCGTATCCCTTTCGCCCTCTGTCTTTCACCTCGTGCACATTGCGCGCACACACACATCACCTGTTCTCCCTTCGCGGGCGAGAGAGTTCTCGCTCGCACCCGCGCGACTCTCGTCACTCACCCGGCAACCTGAGAGACGAGGATGCGAGCAAGTTTTGCGAAGATGAGCCAACTTTGATAAGATACCGGTTTACCCTGCACACCCCGATTGATTATCTTTCTCCGCGGCATCTCCGCCTGTCCCGGTGACGGCTACGTACGTACGTACATATCCTTTTACGTGACCAAACCGTGTAAAACCGATGACCTCCAGGAGCCTTGCGGAAGCCGCGTATGAGAGAGCGTCGCGCGAAATGTTTCCGGTACGTCGCGCGCGATAGATCATCGTAGTTTGCCGAGTGGGATCTACGTGGCTCGCGGGGTCAGCGAAAGCGAATAAAACTCTAAAACCGTGAAAATCTTCCTCAGTTAACCGGCGACTGAAAATCGTCGAAACCGATGTAATTTTGATTAATGCAGATCTTGATGCCGCTGGAAGCGAAATGGTCCCTCTATGTTAATCTGACAATGAAAAAGCACGACGATTTGAACAGTAGAGTGCCTTTCGCAGTGAAAAATTTCAACGCGCCAAAATTGAATAGATTTCGATCGTTTGCATTTGATCGGTAAAAATAATTCGTACAGTCGTTGCCGCTTGCTGCTTTTATTTATATTCAAATGGTGTGTATTTAAAGGCAGACGAGAGATATTTTTGCACGCTGTCGGAAGATTCGTATCGCTTTGATCTCGGTGAATCATCTACTCGAAGAAATAGACATTCCATTCGGGAAGCCGCCATGTGTTCAGCGAATTCCGAAAACCACGACACTACGTTGGCACTCTCGTGTAAATAACGTAATGTCTGATCAAAGTCTGCTCTCCGGGCACCGGAGATCAAAGCGGTGAGCGGCGTGGTTTCGCACCGGCGTGGCAACGATCACTGGGCCGGATGGTCCTCTCGCGTGAGGTCTCATTAGAATCAATTCCCGCGCGCGATATCTCTGCGGCGCGCGTTGCGGCGCCGCGGCATTAATCATACACCTGCATGCGATCCCCCGACCAACGTCAATATTTCCCGGTGGCACTCTCTCTCTCTCGGGGCACTTAAACCACCGCCTCTCAGCCCGCCGTCGATACGCCCGATGCACTTTGTACACGCCAAGCCGAGAAAGGATGACACGAATCTCCCCTTTCTCTCTCGGCGACGCGGTAACAGATAATCTTCTTCTTCGGCCCCGTCCGCCTGCTTCATTCACGTCGCGGCGGAACATCCTCGCGCTGATTCCGGATTGATAACCGGCAGCGGCTGCGGCTGGCGGTGCGGGGCGAGGACATAGCGAGACGACGGCATAGACGGAGGACGGGTGAAGCGAGGACGAAGGCGAATCTGGTGAGGCGCGAGGGTGGCACGTATGCGAGGGAGAGCGCGGGATGAGTTTGCGATTAAACGCGATTATAATTAAGGATAATGGAGTTTCAGCTCGGGAGTTCTCTCGTCGACTCGAGTCCCTTCGCAGCTGGCACCGTTATATCGAGTTCCCGTCGTCAGGTCTAGCATAGACGACCGCTCTTTCCCTCCCCCCTCCCCCCTCTCTCTCT